AAAAAAAAAAAAAAAAAAAAAAAAAAAAAAAAAAAAAAAAAAAAAAAAAAAAAAAAAAAAAAAAAAAAAAAAAAAAAAAAAAAAATAGGGAGAAGCCAGAAAGGATGATCTTTCGCGTACTTACTCCCATGTGGGGCGTTTTAACAAAACACAAATAGCCGCCGCCGCTGCGCCGCCAACAACAACAACAACAACAACAACATATACATATACATATCACAAAAGGTACAACTCGTATCCGTACATGTCTCGACAGTAGGTAATTCGTGTTGGTCAGTCTAAAGGGGTGGAGGCCCGTTGGGGTACTGGACGAGGGGCGTGAAGCTCCTCGCCAGGTTGTTAGAGAGCATGCAGCTGTAGTCTTCCTCGGCCGACGGTACCAAGGACGCGGCTCCTAGTAGCAGCAGCATCAGCGCCTGGATGGGCAGGGAGGCTCTCAACACCCGCCCGATGAAGTGGTAGCCACGTGCGAGGACCGTTTGATTGGGACTGCCGTCAGCACTGGAATCACGAGGTGAGAGAATTTTTTTTTTTGTTTTTTGTTTTTATTGCGCACAAACGTGGAATATATTATGTTTTTGCGCGCGCAAGCAAATGCAAAGATAAAGCTTTTAACGTGTGATTATGTATAAAAAAAAAAAAAATACTTTTGGAGGTGGAAAATGTGTGTACAAGGGATAATAAGACGTACTTGGTGGTTCTAGTGCCGTTGGCCGAGACTCCGGAAGCGGCTTCGTTGAGTAGCTAAAATTTAATGGAACAGAAAAAACACAAACAATAAGATACGGTGCAGGTGTATGTGATTGCTAAATTACTTATTCAATGGAAATCCTATGAAAGATAATTTTGTGTATTATTATACTATTTCTATTGTGTTTTTGTACATGGTGCTCTTGTTAGAGTGCATTTTTTCGTGAGTTTGTTAGTTTCTAGATTTTTTCGTGGGTTGGTTCGAAAAATATATTTTTTCTATAATAATAACGTTGTAAGAGTAGAAATGGGTTTTTTCTTCTTTTCTTTTGCAAGACAAATAATCTACGTCGTTAAAAAATAAAAAAAAAACAACCAATAATTTAGATACGTTACGTGAAACATTAATTACGGTGCAAAAGAATCGTAAGAAAAACTTCTACGTATGGTTTTTTTAATATTTATACAATCCCAAGCAAAAATAATCTTAGTAACTGATGATAAATATTTTTCTTTAATCTGGGCCTTATTCATTATTATTGTTATTGGTCGTTATTACTTATCGTGAGTTTGTCATTAAGACGATTTTTGCTTGGGGTATGAGAAAAACGAGTCCGTTCTGCAATTTTACCGATCCCTTGATCGTAGACCTTCAATCATCTTATAGTTCACTTCTGACACCAAAATCTAAGAATATCGACTCGTGCATACCCTGTGGTACCCCTATTTCGAAAGTCCACGTGGAGTTTTACGTATTTTCCAAGCAATATTAAATCATTCAACCTGGATGAAAATTTTTCATGCATAAAGAATCTATTTTACGAGTGTACTAAAGTTCCGATGATGATGTCCAGGTTTCGTGTTCCAGGAGTTCCAGTAACTGGAATTTAGGTCCACGAGGACATTCGAAATATGTGGGCTCCGTTTCAACAACCCCCGAGAATAGACTAAAAAAAAAAAAAAAAAAAAAATTATTAATTTGAAAACCATGTATAACTCACATTTTTCGAGAGTATGTCCAAGGAAGTCGTGGTGGTGGCGAGTCCAACGTCGCGAGGATCGAGCCCGAGTGCAGAGCCAAGTTTGAGGACGTACATGCTGGTGAGCCTTCGTAGGGACTGGAGGCGCAAACGAAGCTCCTGAAGCCGACCGCGCGTCTCGTCGTGCTCCTGCAGCAGGTGGTTCGCTGCCTCTTGCAAGGACAAGATGCGCGGCTCGCAACGCTCAAGGTTGCCCTGGAGTTCTCTGCAAAGGTACGTGTTTTTTTATTTTAATTTTCAAAATCAATGATCGTTTTAATGGTTGTACCCGTGGAGAAAAAGCTAGAGTGTTCATTTTGTCATGCGGGGTAATTTTTACCCCAAAAGTAAGTTTCTCGGTAATTATTTCCTTAAATCATATTTGTGGGTAAATTTACCCGGAAACTTTGAGGCGATCGATGGAAAAAAAAAACTCACTTAAACTTGTCGTATTTGGACTGAAGTATGTCGTAACCCTCGGTGAGATCGATCGGCTCGCTGGCCCGGATGCTCTCTTCCGTCGCGCCGAGCCACGCGAGCAATTCCTCGACGATTCGATGGAACTGCTGGTTGCCCATGAGGGCGGACTGGAGCCGGTCTTGCCATTTCGACGCCGCCCGGCAGATCTTCTCCCAGCGCTCGTTGGCGCACTCGAGTCGGTCCCGAAGCTCGTTCGCCCGGTCCGTGTCCTCGGTGTGCTCGGCCAAGTGGACGCCCACGATGTTCAGGCTGACGATGATGCTCTTGTGGCTGTCGAGGTCGAGCAAGAACTCGTGGTGGTCTTGGATCACGTCCTCGAGCTCCTCGATCTTCGCGGGCGGTGGCTGTTGCTGTTGGCTCTGGGTGCCCTCGGCGAACTCGAGCCATTTTTCCAGTCGCCAGAGGTCGTTGTCCAGCTGGGCCCAATTGCGGTGGGAGCACAGAGGGCAGGTCAGTCGGCCGCCATCGCTGATTTTTTTGGAAATAGTGAGGTTTATTCGCTTTTTAGGAAGTCTTTTTTTTTTTTGCATACAGAATGGGAGGGGTGCTGAATTATTGAGCTTTACTTTTTTTTTTTTTTTTTTTTTTTTTCTGTTTCCTACAATTATTAGCTAAAAAGTTTTTCTGCGCGAACGATACAAAAATGTCATAAAAGTTCGAAATTCTACGATAGGTATTTCATTTTTTGGACACAACTTACCGACACCACATTATCCACATAAGTAGACTAAGCAAAAAAATTTCAAAAACTATTAGTTTCCACTCACAGTATCAAAAAACCTTCTGTTTTTTAAGTGTTTGAAAAAAAAAAAAAAAAAATGTCCAACATTACTTGTTTTTTAAATTGAATTGGAGAAAAAAAAACAATTTTCATATATTATACTGGCTTACGTTGTACTAAAGCGCATTTGAAAAGGATCTTGATCGTGTGATAAAGATTAAAAGCATGATTCGATATTACAACTATGCCACTCAATAATTTTGCCAACAATAAGGGATGAGTTTTATTAGACAAATAAACGGAAATGGTGAATATATCAAGCTTATTTCTACACTCACTGTTCGCAAGGGAAGAGGTAGGAGCCAACCAAAGGAGACCTGCAGAGCGTTGTAAAGTTAGTCGTGTTAGCGATGATGATATTATGTATCTGTTATTAACATAAATTTTTAATTGCAAGGGATCGGTTGATTCCATTTGGGAGTTTGCGTGGAAATCACAGTCAAATCCGACTAGTTTTTTTCTGAAATGTGCATGTAATCCTATAATCTTGCGGATTCTACAGTTATTACTGTGATTAAGCATAAAAACAAGTCGTATTCTAATTTGAAATCACCCTGATTTCATTAAGATTCCATGTGAGTCTGTTATGAAAATTGTGGAATACAGTAGTATTTGAATGAATGACAGGTGTATTAAAAAAATACTAGACGAATATTAATGATAATTCCATGCAGATTTTCAGCTGAATTCCATCAGACTTGTTCCATTCCATGAGCTCATGAAGGTTATGGAGAGAAATATACTTTTATTACTTTTTATTGTTTCAGTAATGTAAATGAATAAGCAGAGGGAGTTATGATGTATATCAAGCGGTTAATCAAGGAGCATTTTATTAATAAAAGTAATAGATTCTTAAAAAAAAGAGTCATGAGTCAAGGACAGGAATGACGATTTCAGTTACTCACTTAAGCTCGCGAATCTGTTGTTCTCTCGACCTAGCCCTGGCCAAGACTTGATCGAAGCGATTGACGAGCTGCGTGACCTCGTCGGCCTTGGCAACCTTCTCCTCCTCGGACAACAGACCGTGTAAATGTTTGACGAGTTCGATGGTCGACTGGCAGCTTCCAATTTTTTTCGCCTGAGAGTAAAAAAAAAAAGCATCAATAACCTGAACCCTGAAACGTTCCTGGGTATGAAAAAAAGAGCTACTCACGATGTCCCTCGCGGCAGTGGATAACCCGACCCCTGGTGTGGGTTCTGGCGTGACTGCCCGGTCGAGCTCGTGGAGCGCCACCTGGCACTCGGTTATGGCCGATTCGAGCTCAATCAGGTAGGCGTCGTACGATGTCATGCGCGTTATCCTGGGTAGAGTGTCGACCTGGACAGCGCTGTCACGCTCGAACCTGAGCGTCTCGACCTGGACAGCCTCGTCGACCTCTTTCTGCTCCTGGGCTGCCTCGATCTCAGCGCGCAACCGTCCTAGACCGCGTTTGATGTCGGCCCAGAGTTTCTGGTACTCGTCGACGAGCTGCTGTATCCTCCGGATGTCCTCCTCCGGACTGTCGCGCATCACCTCGAGCGCGAGTTCGTCCGCCCGTTTGAGGGTCTGGTTTTGCTTTTCAAGCTTGGATTCGGCGTCCCAGAGCTGTTGGAGTCGGCGGCGGGGCGAGGCTCGCTCCGAAGGGGTCGCCAAGTGTTGGAGTTGGGTCAGTAGCACGTCCACCTGGGTCAAACCGAGCAACGCGGCTCCGTGAGCCGAGATAAACTCGCGGTAGGTCTTTTCGTCCCGTTCCAGGGCAGCTAGGATAGTCTTGGCCTTTGGTGTCAGACGGTGCCATCTGTGGGGTTGTTTTGGGTCATTGGTTAGTTCACTATTTATTTCTTACAAGCAGCCATTTTAAACAGTTCCGCGTACACCATTGCTTGGATGGAAGAAGATGACAGTAGTTGAAATAAGTAACAAGTCGTCGAAGCTCTATTTGATTTGTACAGTTAATCCGGAAATCAGTGCCACGGACGGAGAAAATTGTCATATTCGTTTACAAAATACTTGTATGTATACTTATTATGAGAAACATTTTTTTTTATCACGAAGTAGCAGAAGCAGTACTTTTTGATTTTAAAATAATAATTGGGTTCTAAAAATTTTTGTTGACCAAAAAAATAGATGAAAGGTCATGTGGTCGGCACAAGTTCAAATAATGGTATTGTGCTACCGAGTACGATATGATGTGAAACGTAACGTTTTTGCGCGTAATCGATCGATTGAATTCCATGCACACGTAGAAGCTCAACTGAACTTGAAAAAAAAAAAAAAAACAAGTTATAATTGGACCAAATGCTGAATAAAAATTGATCTGGGTGACACAAGACACAATGCGATTACAACGATTTAGAGTTATGTTCTTCCTTCCAAGCCACAAAAAAACTAAACAAGAAACTAAGAATTCCCAGACCTGTCCATCAGCTGGCGGGCGTCGGCAGTGAGGAATCTCAGGTTCTCGGGTTCGAGGCCCCCTTTAGCCAAACGGCTGTAGTTCATCTCGATGATCTGCAGAGCCGGTTGATGGGCCCCAATGTCCTCCAGAATCTTGTTAACCCTCGTCATCGTCGCCTCGCTGTTGTCGCGCGACAGATCATGCAGACCCTCCTCCAGTTCCCCAAGCTCCTTTTCGACCCCATCCACCCACTCGGTGAACTCGGTCGACAGACCACTAAGTTCCTGCAGTAGCTTCCCGGTCATCTTGATGCCGCGCTTGCGCTCAGCCGACTTGACGCAGGTCAACTTCCACCTGCGCTCGAGCGCCTCCATGTTGGTCTTGATCGCGTCCGTGTCGAAACCACTGCTGGCCTGTTTCCAGATATTGCAGTCGCTGAGCAACATCTCGCACAAGTTGAGCACCTCGCCGACGTTGGCGCTCTCGGCTTCGATGCTCTTCTGCAGCTGCTCGTGATCCTTGAGCTTGCGCTCGAGGGTGCCTGGCTCAGCCGTCTCCATGGTACACGGCTCGGCCAGCTGGGCCTCGATCCCACCCAGCCACACCCTCAGCTGCGCCAGTCTCTTCTGCAGTAACGCCGTCGTCTGCACGAGCTCGACGATCTTGTTGGCCCTCGTCCTACCCACCACCAGGAGGCTGTCCCAACGCTCGTTGATCTCCTCCAGGCGCCGCTCCACTCGCTCCCGCTCGACCCCTGGCTCGGCCATCCCGACCAGCTCTTTACCGCTGTCCCGCAACCACTCCACCTCCCGCTGCTTGAGCGCCATCTCCGCCTGGATCTCGGCCTCCAGTCGTCTCAGCTCCTCCTCGGGCTCGTCCACGCTTGCGCCCGTCATCTCCGTGCCCCGCAACCGCCCTTCCGCGTCCTCGATCCACGTGAGCAGCCGTCCCGAGCGGCTCTCCCACCTCGAGTAGAGGGCGCACCGCTCGCCCAGCCTGTGGGCCAGCAGGGACAACTTGTGCTCGAGGCTGCCATGTTGCTGCCAAAGGAGGAAGCCCTGCTGGCTGAGGGCCTTCATGTCCGCGGGGCTGAGGCACTCGCTGAGCTGCTCCACCAGCACCCCTAGGCTCTCGAGTTCTGGAACGCAGCCCACCAACCTGGCCCTGTGCCGCTGGAGCTCCTGGAGCCGGGCGCGGCACTCCTTGATACCACCCGCCAGCCCCGCCTCTTCTGCCTCATCGACCACCTTACCGACCTCCTGGAGGAAGCTGCTGATCCTGCCCACTTGGGCCCCGTACTGCTCGTTCAGGCCATTGACCTTAGCGACAAAGTCCCGCCACGTCTTGAGGCTCGCCCTGGCGTTGCTCAGCCGCTGCACGCTGGCCGCGTGCTCCATCCTCACCGAAGCCGCCAGGGCCTCGTCGGCGCAACCCGCGAGCAATAGGCCCTGCTGGCGCTGGAGCTCCTCCGCCTTGGCCTCCCCGGCCGGTAGCTTGTCCTCGGCGTGGAGCAGGTTGTCGATGTCGGCGAGGATCTTGGCCAGCCGGCGGGCGCTCATGAAGCGCAGTTGGAGCTTGCCGCGCTCGCGGTCCAGCTCCTTCATCCAGCCGAGGAGCTCGGAGTGCCCGGCCCGGTAGCGCTCCCAGTCGGCCATCCTCCGGCCGACTGCCGAGTGCCGCGCGAGGATGCGGTCGAGGCTGAGCTGGTGCAGCTCCCTCAGGGCGTCGAATTGCTGCTGCAAGGTGCTGCCCTCGCTGTCCAAGGCTCGGACGAGCTTCACGAGGTTCTGTTGCTCGGTGAGGAGGTTCTCGTGGACCTCGCAGATGCCGCGGTCCTCGGCGAGGCCGTTGTAGTCGTTTGGCGGTGCGGACGACAGGTACTCGCGGACGTGTTCGAGGTACTCGCGCCAGAGCCGGAGGGCAGCGGTGACGTCCTGCGAGTGGATCAGCCGGGCCGAGAGGCGCTGGTATTGGTGGAAGGTCTCGCGGAAGGCGCGCTGCCAGAGCTGGAGGACCTCGACGATCGAGAGCTCGTTGCCGTCGTCGTTCTCGGGGATGACGTCCAGGGGACGGTCCTTGATCGATTTGAGCCGGGTGTCGGCGCGCGTCAGGTCGAACAGGTGATTGCGCAGTTTGATCAGGTCCTCCTCGGAGTCGCCCTGGACCACTGTTTTGACGCTCTGCCAGGGGGGGTTTGAGGTTACACTTTGTTTGTTTACTTTGTTTCACGTGTATGTGTGTACTGTGAATCCAAGAGTGTTGCCCATGTAATACAAGAACACTTTTGAATAATGCGGTGGGCTTTTTTGCTTTTAATAAAAGTCACTTCGGGACCAGTCAAATCCATGGTTACATCGATTGTTTGATCAAACTACGTAATAATTATGCCATTTTTTATCCATGAGGATTTCAACAACGAAGATAATACCTAATAAAACGTCTGATAGATACACGTACGGATGATATGGAACACTCCACGTGGACTTTTCAGATAGAGGATGCAGGTGGTTATTAAAATAGTTAATCAACATCAACAATATAAAGCTGTGATGTACCTTTCGTAGAAACGTGTGATATAGTAACTTGGATTCACAGTACTTGGAACATTAATGTTTATTGTTATAGTATGATAAAAAAGATCTCACTGCTCTATTGATGGAAAATTAGGTTTCAAATAGTAAAAAATCCCCAGAAAACATTATGCCATCAGTTTACAGTGACATGGAACGGTATTTTTAAGCTGCTATTTTTCGTTATATTCATTGTAAATGCTCGATTTTTGAGATTGAAGCAAAAGTTACCGGTTTTTTTCATCCAATAAGCTTTTCAACCTTGCAAGAATCAACAAAAAGCTCAATCATTTATAAAAAAAAAAATTTTTTATTTTTTGCTCGCACTCAAATGAAACGGGCCCGAGCTTTCCTTTCGCATTTGATTCGAGCTTTTATAATAAGTGTATGAAAGTGCCAGGAAAAATGGTCAAAATCGTTGCGTTACTTTCTTGAACTGAATCAGTCGGAAGGTATACAGGGTTGGTAATGCGTAGTTTTTTGAATGCTCACATTCCATGACACCGTAACTATGTAATCGGGGTATAATCGACTGATTTCTACACATAATACCCCGCAAATTTGAGCGAAATTTCTCCACTGATAGGACGCACGTGCCCGCGTGTATATAGCATACACGTAGGTAAATATTTCAAGAACACGCGTTCGCACACACATCACGATGAGAATGAGCGTGGCTATCAACGAGAGGCAAAAGTTGCGGTGTTGCGGATTTCGTGACCGATGCAATAACACCGCAAACCGTGTACGAGTTACACATACCAAAGTACAATACGTACCTAACTGTACACAGGTGCAGGGAGGGGGGTTCGACCTTGACATAACGAAATTGTTTCGCCAACAACTACAATTAAAATATATAAGAGCGCACCACCTCGGGGGTGCGAGGAGTTTTGCGATGATTGAGCCGTGCGCCTATACATGTTTCACCCCCCCCCCCTTTAACCGCTTTGCTTTCACCGCGGGGTGGGATGGGTTATTGTCTATTTCTCTCTGTGTGTTGTGTACCAACGAGTCGTTTGTGTGGATGTAGGGACGGAAACAATCATATTTAAATGGCACAGCCTTGGGTGGTATTTCGAGGGGGGGCTTTTGCCATCTTCTTCGCGCTTCGTACGAGTATTCACGAGTACGAAACTTCAAATGGGGGTTCGGGGGGTTGTTTACGTGTGTTTGGCCGAAATTGTGGTTTTTGTTTTTCTCGATTGTAAATTTTGTTGGATTTTTTTTTTTTTTTTTTTTTCTTTCATCTGTTGTCGAGTTGACGCGGATTTTTTTTTTGTTTTTGAAAATGCCAAGTTGGTTTTTGTCAAAATAAATATCGGCTTTAGCGTCCAAATTTACGAATGTGAAAAGTAAAAAAAAATCAAACAACTGGATTTTGTTCTTTTACACGACGATATTTTGTACGAGATTTTTTTCTGGGAACAGTGCTTTAAAATATATATACTTTTCCAAAACAGGATTCATCGAGTGTACTTACATACATAAAATTCTAACGATTTGAGTAACAATAAACAAAAACAACGTTTAGCTTTTGCTTCCGATTCTGTAGTAATCGTTTTTCTACGTGTATGCCGAGTGGGATCACGACAATCTGATCTAACTATTGTATAAATAATTGAGTGAGGTGTTTTTAAAATGTTTCTCTGTATTACAGAATTGAGCTCATTACAGGATGAAATCGTAATAACGAATATTGAAAATCAGCGTTGATGATCGACGGGCTCTCAAGTTGCTTATGCCATTTTTTTGATACTCAATGTATGAATATTTTCACTTTGTGCAACTGTATGTCATGCGATAGTCGTAAAATCAAGAAATTCGTATATTCTATACAGATACACCGAGAGAAAAAAGTAGTAAAAATTACTGTGCTAGAATGGTAATCTGGTACTGTTCGGTCGTCTACTCTCTAAAGTTAGATCAGTCGAATTAGTTAATATTGACTAATTATAAGTGAAAAGTCGTGTGATAAATAAACGACATTTTACTGATTCGCAGTAAAATTTGACTGATTCAACTTTAAAGACTATTTACTATTGGAACAATAATTTTTAATGTTTAGAACAGTAATTTTTGTTGTATGTACAATGATTTTTACTGTTTGTACAATAAAAATTAGGTTGGGAAAAGTAAAAAGCCCCTATAGACGACAAAATGACACTAGATTACCATTCTAGCGCAGTAATTTTTAATATTTTATTCTCTTGGTGCAAGAGATATTCAATTTCCTACACTTAGAGTTTTAAAAAGATATACTTTTCCTACACAGAGTGTTGAAAAAAAAATATAAAAACACTCCTCGCATTGAACCAAAATTGTAGAGAAAGAGCTTTTTCGTTTGACTCGATGAGCTTACTTACGTACAATACAGTTTTTCGGTCCCAATATTAAAATACCCTTTACAATCGAACATTGCAGCTCCAGGCTACATTGTCACGTAGATTTTGTCTGAATTATCGTAACCCAAGAATAGGATTCAACAAAAAAAAAAAAAAAAAAAAGAAAAAAAAACCCAAGGCCCAACTCACCTGCTGCACCGAATCGATAAAGTTCTTAGCCTGGCAGAGATCGTTCCTCGCAAGATCCTGGTTGATGGCACGTGCGTCAGCGCTGTTGGCCAATGTGCATATGCTGTCGCAAATATTCTCGAGCTTGCGGTTGAGCGTCTGCACCTCCGTTTGAAGGGGCGCACTGGCGTCGAGGCCGACATCCGACGCGATTTCCGAGACCAGTTTCTGTAGTACGGTCAGTCGCTCCTTGTGCTGGGCCAGCGTCTCGTTGCAGGCCTGTTAAACACGAACAAATATATTATTTTTTATTTAGATGTTTTTTTTTTTTTTTTTTTTCAACTGTCGATACAGAATATTGGAGAAACAGATGAAGGTGCTCGGTCGTTTGACGACGCGGCGAGTCAATAGGACTCGAAGCCATCGAACTGTCCCTACATGGGTCCAAACAGTTTTTCTACATCTAATTTTTACTTTGCTGAAAAGTATCTACTCAGAAATTACTGCAAAAACTAGTAAAAATTTCCGAAGCAGAGATTATTTTCACCATTTTTTCTTTACACTTGATGAGTTGCATGAGATTTCGTTGTAAAAATCCTCCATCATCATGATAATACAACTAAACAATGTCGGACAACCTATTATCGTTTATCAGAGCCCCTGTCACCCCTGAAAAAAAAAGAATTCCCTCCGATTAAAAAGTAACGATCTACCATGGATTTTCGTTTCGACGGTACATGAAAAAAAAAAAAAAAAAAAAAATCCAAATGAATTACAAACAGACACGGCAAAGGCTTACCCCAAACTTACTTCTACTTTATTTAGGGACGCAGGGAGGGAGGAAAAGGGTGTAAGCTCCAATAAATTTACTGGACCAAGGTTTCCACGCGCACTACTACAGACACGCGTGTGTATATTTATTTATGCTTGGTTTCGACGCAGATGCCGGCATATCTATTTTAACGCGTATTTTTAGAGATCGAGTTCCCGCAAGCCGAGCTTGCGAGCTTTTGAAGTCACCGCGAAGAAAAAGACTCGTATCGAAACGACTTTTTTTTTTTCTTCGTCCAACGAACGACGTGTTTGGTTGTTCATATGTTGCTGGATCGACACAAGAGTACAATCATTGACCAAAACTGAGCTTTTGAAGCTCTTCATCGGGTGTTTTTTCGATCTCTTCCGTAGCGATACGCGGCGAGCCGTGCACGTGTATACCTTTAACATGCTCGTATGCCACCGTATGCATGTTTATACGCGTGTACAAAGAGGAAGGAAGAGCCGTACGAAAAAGGTGCTAATTCGACCGAGCACGTGAGAACGAGCGAGTGGCATTGCACTATACCCAGTGCCGTTATATTTATGTGCTGTAAACCGTTGTGTGCTCGAGTGAGCGTCTCACTTTGATATACATTTAACTCGCAAGGTTGGTTAAAATTTAACCAGCTGTCGGTCGAGGTTTTTCTTTCTTTATGGTTTTCAACGCGGTTGGGTTTAATTTTGGATTCCTTGTTGGTCACCCGACAACGCGCCAAAGTAAGATGAGGCGAGTCGTCAACTTGACCCACATATCTTTAGACGCTGACCTTGAGATTCGGCGAAAAACAAATCTGCACTCTGGCCTGCGTTTTGGTTTTGGGAAACGGCACACACGCTACGCTGTTTTTGATGCGTTCAAAGAGTAATGAGATGGATATTTATTATTATCGCCTTTTTTTGGTGTATCAAAGTGTAAATTATCTCACCTATTCTATTTAATTTAAAAATTTTTTTGTTGACACAAACAGGATTTTGGAAGTGCTTTTATGCGTGTCAAACGTGTTTTAGCCAAGTTTTTTTTCTCTACAATTTTCCGGGTGGGGTCCGAAATAACGACGGTTCACTTCAATTTTGCAGTAAAACTATGAATGTTCATTTGCAGTATAAGAAGAAAGTCAAAGTAAACTGCCTTGTGATTGACTGTTGAAATACTGAGCAGTTGCTGCACTGAGCTGTAGTTGTCGTCGGAATACACGTCGCTGAAATGAACATTCATAGTTTTACTGCAAAATTGAAGTGAACTGTCGTTATGTCGGACCCCGCCAAATTTTCCTACATTTATGGCTCGTGTTCGTAAGTGTTAAGTTTAGTGGAACTAGTTAATTTTACTAGATTCAGTCATTCCGATAAACACAATAGCAATGCATTTTATAAAAAAAAAGAGAATTTTTAATTATACAGGTTTCAAACGTTTAATTCAACAAACTTGGATTCACAGTGCACTTGGAGTGATTTCAATTTTACGCGAGGCAGAAATGCAGATCTGGACTTTTCGACTGCTCAAGTTTTCTAATCAACTAACTTTCTTTCGTGTACAAAATTTTTTTTCACACAAGCATGTTTACAAACTTTTTGAGCTTAATGCTTTTGCTTCAACGGTATGGAAATAATTTGTCCAACGGGAAACGAGACGATTTGATTTTTTCTTTATTTTTTTACTCATCACTTTTACAGCTCGTTGCAAATAAATGAAGTGTCTAATGAAAAGTTTCTACACCGCGTTTCCGTAAGGTTTAATTTTTTTTTTTTTTTGTGAAGCGTGTACTCGTTACAAATTACAAAACTTTCAAAGCCTCCTCGAAAACAATATTAGATTCCGTTCGTCGAAATCTCGTTTATTGCATTCGCAAGCATCCTACGATCGAAAGCTTTAATCCGAAAATCACAACATTTCACAATCTGACGGATTTTCGGCAAAGAAAATCAAACACTCGCGCGCTGAATCGACGAAGAGAGAAATATATAGGTCGCTTGTACTTAAGTTAAAAAAGTAAGGTATTTTCGGTTTTCGGTGTATAGGCGAACGCGCGTTAATATATACAGAGTGACGTCATTCGCAGTAGTACAGCTCGGAGTGCCAAAAGTAACATCTGCGCGCGGATCGAAGCTTCGAGCCGAAAATTTCCTTCTCTTATTCTTGTTTGGTTTCATTTTATAGGTATAGACACGTTTTCAGAAGACAACTCCAATTCATGCGTACTAAGTATCGAAGATAGTTGCCATTTCTCGTGGCCATTTTCTCTTTCCGTCGTTATTGTGGATGACAAGGGGTCACGTATAGTATCAACTGTGTAATGTTGATATGGGCGGTTTGCCATGAACATGTGTCTGTAAATGCGTCGTTACTTGTTTTGCTAAGGAGTTATTCATCTTTTCAGTTTTACTGCAGTCAGCAGCTGAAAAGACAAACTCGCTTTGTAACGCAAAATTAATAAACGAGCGTTGAAATAAAATTATTCATAATACCCTTATTTGTATAACGAAATGGTTTGGTTGGAAATTTTTTCCGAATGATTATTTTGATCTAAACTATTTTACCGATTTGGTGAGACAAAGAACTAATTCATATTATAGGCTCATTAATAAAGCATAACTTGGGTAAAACTACATTCATTAAAAAGTTGAAAGCTAACTTGCGTCGCTTTATGTAAAATCTTATGTATTCATACTTAAATTATTGTAGCATTAAGACTAAGCACAATTGTTTTAGAAATTTTTTAAACCTTTGACCAAAAAATTTTTTTCTAAATGAACTGTATTTCTTTTACTGAGAACTTTTTTTTTTTGTGACAGAAAAGTTTGATAAATTTCCAATATGGAAGTATTTACCGCAGAGTATTGAAAATCAACTGTTTGAATACTTTTTTAAATAATTTGACCTTTTTTTTTTCTTAGTTCTTTTTTTTTTTTCTTTTAAATTGTAATGCATTATTTTCGTTGAAAATAAAAAAAAAAAATAAAAAAAATTGAAAGGCAATGTTTTACAAGTAATAATTAAAAAAAAATTTTAGTAAAACCGTTTTTAGTGCTTGTTTTTTTGTTTCCTTTCTAAACTAATACAGCCATTACCTATAAACCTTAACGACCGTATTATACACACGATATCGTTATCTCGTAGAAACTATGCATAGCTTATAATTAGGTGTTCAACGCTTACAACTCGACATAAACTAACTACTTAGCTTAAAATTAACGTCGTTTACACAAAGCATCACTAGACACTCATCGAAATTTCTAGGTGTTGAAATAATAATTTTGGATTACAGGACATCCACGTGCTCGTCAAACCATCCAAAACTAAAAAAAAAAAAAAAAAAAAAAAAAAAAAAAAGGGTATTTCTTTGCAACGTTTGCAGATAGTCCAAACTGTTATCAACTGCTTCTACTTCAACAATCCAACTTGGTTGTTATTAACAATGCTACCACTCTAGACTTCAAAATCTACTGAAAAACACGCAAAAACCTCAAAAAAAAAAACCCCATGCACACTTCGCCATCGCACTAGTAAAAAAAAAAAAATTGGCAAAAAAATAAAAAAAAAAAAAAAAAAAACTCAAGCACACGCGCTCTCACCCTTTTTTGATTGGGGGTGCACATGCCGCCCGTAAAGTCAGCTGCTGCAATTGCCACCAGCTTAGTAGTTGTGGTAGTACAGCGTCGCCGGCACACCACCGCGTCGATCCGCGAAACGCGGATGCCGCGCCGTACTGCTACAACATGCACCATGTGCGTACATACACACACACACACAAACAAAATATCTCGCGCTTGTCTTCTCTCTCCTCCCGATGACTCTGGGTCCGCGACACTCCGTGCAATTTCGCGAGGAATTTCGGGGCTTTCTCGCGCGGTTTTAAAATTAGCAGCGGCGGATCAACCTCCGCTTGGCCCGATACTGTTGCACACTACACGCGCTTGTCAACCCGCCACGACTTTCGAGCCGTTACTAAATTGATTTTGTACTATGGCACGGGCAGATAAGGGGCCGAGTGTCGTGCGTTCATCGGACGTCGTTTATAGCTGTGTGTACAGTGTTTACTCGATGGGTTTTTCATTGCGATTTACTATAAGTGCTGCTCACGAGGGAGACTCTTCACTTTCGTCATACACATATTTTGTTTTTTCAAATATTTTCAAAGAGACGCACCATCGTCTTCGTCTGATTGTTTTTCACGGCTTGTTTAATCACTTCTTCTTCTTCTTCTTCTTCTTCTTCTTCTTATTTGTTATCCTCGTAAACAATGTGCACGTAGATAAGGTGCTTTTATCGAACTGCTCGTGTACGCGTATGTACACCCCGAAAATGTTTTTGCGCGTGTAAAAAGTAGGCACTTTCTAAGTCGAAAATGAAAAAAAATGGAAAAATTCATCGTGTCACGTCGTCATCGCGTACAAAAAGTTGTTGAAGTTTCATCGACCGAGCGTCTCGCGATACAAACACCAAAAACGCCTAAAACACTCGGGCGCCGTAAATAAAGTTGACAAACGCAACATTATAGAACAAAAGCAAAAAGGTCCAGCCCATCACCGGCTTGCAGATCATTTGTATAAAACACACCGCGGCCGCGTGCACGTACACGAGCCTCCTCCCGGCGTGTACTGGACCAGACTATACCCCGACCCGCGCGAGAAGAGATGACTAGCGCGCGCGCGCGATGTGTATACATATTTATCACACACAGCCTCCTCTTCTCTTTATCCCCTTCGTACAGCTCATATATATATATATACACGCAAAAGCGCGAGGGGGATCGATCCGCGCCGGTCTACGTAGCGCTTGTGTGTGTGTGTATGTAGGAGAGCACAGATGGTTCGGACGCTCCCCTTTTTTTCTCCCCTTCCCGCGAGGGTGTTCCGGCACTATACGGATGCTGGTCTAAATTGTCATGATAATCTCGCCTCCGCTGCATCATACGGCGTGTGTGTGGTTCACCAAGGCTCGGGTCGAGCTTTTTGATTGTGCTTTAAAGTGTATAAGCCGGCTTGTTAACCCGCACGAGTATACAGGGGGTGGTTGTGTCTACGTATACAATAATATATAACACAATGTAGGTGAAGGCGTTGGCGCTTTGGGAATCAAGGGCGCGGTGCTCTGCCGAGACGTGTGGTGATGTCAAATGGTGCAAGCGGCACGGATGAAATGAATATAATAGCACCCCCCCCCTTTTTTTTTTCTTTCTTTGTATCTTCTGATACGCAAGGCGTTTATTTTTACTGGCTCGCCGCATGGGTGATGGACCATTGATTGAGCTGGTGGTGATCGAGTGTTTCGGGTGGAGTCTAGAGGAAACTGAAAGCTCGTTGCACTGGCTTTGTTCCCAGAGATTCGTACTTTTGTAACGAAAGATATATATACACGTGATCATTTTCCATCGGTAACAACGTGTTGTCTCATTTGCTGGAATGATGACCATAAAACAGCTTACTTGTCCAAAGTATTTTTCTTGGAGCCACATGAAAACGGCAAAAGATAATTTCACAACTTTATCGCAGCTTGATTTTGCAACCTTTACAACGTGTCTAAATGACAACAGGGCGTGCTCGTAGGGGATCTCAGCTATATACAGTTGGTGGTTTCATAAAATTGTTGTTCGAAGCGAACGATGGACGATTTTTTTCCAGTCTAGTGGTATCAAGATAAAAAAAGAAAAAAAAAATTATCGAAAGCAAAGAGACCGCTGGCAACGCTTTTTTTGCCATTGGTAACGGAACTGGATGGCACATACATGTATTTGTGTGTTTACGTAGTCTTCTCTGTCCAAGTGCGTTATCTTACGTAAGTATAGATAAAACGCAGTCCCAGCCGTGTTTCCGATAAGAAAGTTTGTAACTTGTTTTGGCGGCAGAAACAAAGCTTTTCATGCGCCATGGACGTATTGAGCAACCAACGGGAGCGTTCAACTCTGAATTTATCGCAACGCATTTCACACGTGCGGATAATTATCTCGTTTGAGGATACAAAGAAAAGCTAAATTTTTCTTGAGAATGAGACAATTAGTTTAACTTTGGCCATTTTTGTACTTTTTTTCACAATACAGAAGTATTGCCGAGTAAATAAGCTTGCGTCAATCACGTTTTGCAGTACACTTGAAAACAGCCGCTTTCACTTTCTACCCGCATTAACACGCATTTAAAATCGTACAACTCGCTTCAAAGGACCATTTTCAGGAAGAAGAATATAGTGTACTCGCGCGCAACGTTATCGTTCCTCGACGTACAGTCGCAGCAATTATTACTCCTCAGGGAAAACTCTAGATGTCCCATAAATTCCGTAAAATGTATCATTTGTCATCGTGAGTCATATCTTAGAGATACATGGTTTGAAATCATGGGAAATTACTTTCCTCTGATGGCACAAACTGTTTGTGTGTATTTCGTCGCATTTAATTTATTTTCACACTGAGAGAAAAATATAATAAAAATTACTGTGCTGGAATGATAATCTGGTAGTGTTCGGTCGTCTAAAGACTTTTTACTACTTGAACAGTCATTTTTGTTGTAAGTATAGTAATTTTTACTGTTTGTACAATAAAAATGACTATCCAAAACGGTAAAAATTAGGTAATTAGAAAGAGTTAAAAATCGCTAGACGACGAAATGACTCCAGATTACCATTCCAGCACAGTAATTTTTATTATATTCTTCTTTCAGTGTAACGGTAACAAGGACCCCCGTAATTTTTGTGCCAATCATTACAACGTATCATGAATCAAATACTACAAAATTTCGAAAGTTATTATATGTGTAACTTATAATGTATTTTCAACATAATAGTCTCGATAATAGTTTTGTGTAAAGATTATACTTATTTTGTGTGTTTTCCGTAAGTGAGCGATAAGATAAAATTTACGTGAAATTTTAGTATTTTTAACGTCATTACACTATCATCATATTTATTACCAAATTAATTACGTAAAACACAAATTTATTAATGATTCATAGCTCAATCAGTTAACGGATGGACGTAACGTGTATTTTATGTGTTATCTCGAGGGTTTGATAAATAGAAAAGAAAATCTTGAGCAGAGACTATTTGAAGGCCCGTTGTTGGAGTGAAGGGTGACGAAAATCGTGTTCCAGATGTTGTGCCGTAGGTATATGTACCTAAGCTTGTACGCACTTTCGTTCGTAGCGTCGGTGCAGCGGATGTTAATCGAGTTAAAGCATTGCAATAAAGATAAGTGACGAGAGTTTTAGGCTCGTCTTGCGTGTATACTTGAAATCGGGCTTTACCAGCCGCCACTGACTTCATCGACGATTTCGATGGGTAGATTCTTTTTTTTTTTTTCGCTCAAAAATAGATCGCGCAATTGTAGCGTGTGTTAATAGAAGTCTGGCCTCAAAATCGCATTTGTTATTACTGCGTTTGATTGAATTATGGGTTTAATTTTGGCTGCCCTCGGAATGTTGATTTTATTTTTACAGAGCTGGGAGTTTTCGAACGATTTTTGTTCAAAGACTCTACGAAAATAAAAACTGTGAGTTTTTCCTTTTCACTGTGAAATGCTTCTTCAAAAGGTTTATTTTTCTATTGAAAGAATACATAAAAA